AAACGTGTACTGTTGCAATCGGAACCTGTAAAGAATCTCCCTAGGTGAGACTAGTCTGGTAATGACAAAAAAACACGTGCCAGCCACGAGTTTGCCATCAATGACGGATAGGTCTGGGTAGTAACTAGAGCAAGGAACATCAGAATCTGTACAAACTGGTGGGGATGAATGCCAAATGATTCATTAACATCAGGTTACCAAGACCAACAATCAATATTTCATTAACTAATGTCCGAAAATCACCCGCCCGTTCCCCACTCGTGCCCCTGAAATGCCATCCTGTTCTGACTAAAAATTAATTTACTAGAAAGGTGATCATGAATGAAACTCCAAGAAGGGATAATCACGAAAATGAAGTTGGCGACAGCACGATCTGAAATACACAACCGTTACCATCGACAGTAGATTGACTGTTTACATGCATAAATGACTTTGGTTTGGTATAATCGATAATCGATAAAAACATCCTGGAACGAGAGAATCCGAACAATGCAAATTATCGGCGCTAATGCAAAGCCAGGGAGAGAAGCTGAACGAAACTCTAAAAAGATGACTGACAAGCTATTAGCGGAAACATTGGATACATCATCGACAAGCGAGTTGATGCAAAGAGACGGCGGTAATATGCGAAAGCGTGCAAAGCCAATCAATGACGATTTGTTCCAATTGATCTACTGAATAAAGAGCAGCGCTGTATATCCCGCATGTAACCCACAATAGCCTACCGATCAAATTGCCGTACTGAAAGAATTGAGGATTCAATGAGTTTTTTTCAAAGTCCCGTTGAACTGCCAACATTGAAGCATATGCGCGATGGACTTCGCCCGGGCTGAATGACCTTCAAAATTTCCGAATGAAAATCAATACTACCAGTCGGTTCGAATGATACGCGTTTCCTTCCACCTGTGCACTTTGAAGTTGGTTTGCTTGAATAAATTGTTGCGTCCAAAAATTAGGACAGTAGGTAAGCATTAGACCGGAGAACGATGTTCCAACCATCTGACGAAAGCATTTGGCGAGTTGGGATTTCCAACCCACCGCAAACGCCGTCGTATAAATAACGATAAGGGGGCTTGACAAAAATTTGGGACGCTGAGCATGTGGCTTTGTTAACCGCAAGTCGCTTGCCTACTCAGCACGCAAACGGCCATTATGCGTGAGGAAATCGTGTTTTCTCACGAGCACTACCCAGTTGATGCATACAATGGAGAGAGTTGAGCAGAGATTTATGGGAGAGAAGCGGGATAAATTTAGAAAAAGGAGAAGCAAGTAATCCAGGTTAGAACGGAAATCACTACGTATTGAAACGAAGTAAGATAGATGCCAACAGAAGATAATGCGCAACACGCGATGTAGCTGCAGAAATGGGTTCTATTGTACTTTTAATCAGCTGGTTGCGCAAATAGACATCTCCCCAACAAGATACTTGACTTTGCAACCGGGTCAACTAACTGTTCCCTGATACGAGAGCTAATCACACTACTGATCAGCCGCTTATGATCAAACGTTTAAATGTTCAACCACTTGTAGGAAGGTCGCAAGTTCGAAACTCTTTGAGTTTCGTGAGATGAACACAGCTTATAATTCCCGTTTTACAGTGCTTCTAAGCGTTTCAGCATAGCTTGCTTTCACTGACATGACGGGATCTCTATTGAATATCCCTTCACATCACCATCCCAAATTAATCTGTTTTTGTTGGCTAATTTGATCTAATTCTCCCCGATTGCTTCCAGTCTCTTCTGTGTCACCATTGATCAATCAGCCTAGGCAGGTCGAAAAACGATATTGAAACGAATGCGAGAAACCTGGGTGTCGACCTATGTTCCGCAGAAGATCCTATTCATGTTAATCAGCTGATTTCTGCCTATGCTTCAGTCCGATGTTTCCCACCATACTCCCTTACTCGATTTATGCGGGTGGCAATTAGGGTAGTACCAAGACTGCAGATCTACAGGGATCCGAGGATCACGTTTGTGAACTCCAAGAACGATTATGGCAACGGGAGATACGAGCGAACCCTCTTGCCACTACACATTCTGAACGCTGAACCTCACGGGGGTCCACAAACCTAAATGAGTAGAGCCCCAACAGGATAACCTTTCAGTGTGATATGGCAAACATTTTACATCTCACTGCGGCAGTGAAGCATCAGTGCCAACATTGATGTTGCCGTCTTTGATGATGATGATGTACCCTGATTTATAGAGGCCAACAAATGCCCACAAGAGCCATTACAGGGTTGTAAGCGATGACAAAAACCATAGGGTGTTCGCGAAAACTCAGTCAGTAATCAAGGATATTCAAGGATTTGCGAGTACCACTGTCGACATATTTGCCACCTCGTTTTGTAGCCCACCTAAAATTCAAACCAGATAGCTTATTTGAAATTCAAAGGGAGACAAACATTAACAGGAACGCTAGATAACTTTCTAACTAGCTCCAGGCAGTAAAGTAGTGTACAGGTGTTTATACTCTCCCACCGTCACCAGTTTTAGGTGCGGTGAGGTTCGAATGAGGAATCAATCGCCCCGTGTACTTACAAATGTTCGCCTCAGTACATATCCCAACTCGGCAGGGAGAATTAAGCACGTTCGCGACCTGTTGCTGCACTGATTGCAAATGACCTGGGGGAGCGGAACAGCTACCGATTTGCAAAGGACTGAAGGTATGCAAGCCACCGACAAACTATTTGAAAATAGAAAAGTCATCATGAGTTAAGTCAGAATAGAGAGACCACGAACAGAAGCTCAGAACAGGAGTGATGTTCACTGAAGCAAATAAACACAGGACTAAGCAGATTCATGCAGCGTTGTCGTTTAGTTTCCTTTCCAATACTCTTTGTCAAAACCAACTGCCAAGGTGTCCGGAGGCCAACCACTCTTAATAACCGAACATCATGTCGGTTGGACGGATGCGTCACATGCGGGCTACAAACCGAACGAAGGCATCGTTTGATTGGTCAGAATGTCAGCCAATCCGGATCCAGCATCTATAGTTCGATGCTTAGGTTCTAGCGCGACCCTGTCGAGTGTTCTTTGATAACCATATAAATACGGTAACAAACTTCCTTTGTCTCCGAGACGGGCTGTCTCCAGCTACGGTGCCTTTTGATGTGCCAAAGTGGGCGGAGCAGGGAACCAAGGATCGATACAGGAGTTACACCACCTTCAGCAAGCCATCCAACTTAGTTCAAGCCGTTAAATTTTTATGGCTTCGTTATCATTACATGAGTAAAGGACCGGGCTTAGACGGTGTGCACAATGAGGGAAGCTTGCGAATGTCCTCAGTTGTCTCAGTGTCACCAACAAGGCAGTAGATCTGGGAAGATAGATATCCTGCCATCACCATCCGTTCTATTGTTGACTACTGGAAACTACATTCCTCAGATCACCCACAGCTTCCTAGACCTCTCTGCTCACCAAAACTGGACGATATGGAAGATGACAGCCGAAATTGATAAACCAGGGGAACTTAATTGGTACAGAACGATAACGGAACATTGGGACTGATGAGACCTGCTTCCCAAATCAAAGCAACTGCAGTTGATGGTCAATCGAACGCATTCCCGGACAGCTAACTGACATATCCCACACATCTCATTGACACAGTTAGCCAAATTGGATACACAGTGATGAGAAGGGAGGAAAAGTTGTAATCGTTGTCATGGTAGTGTTATGCCAACCAGTGCTACAAACATTTCAGATGGCCATGGAGAAACAACACATTATTGACAGATGCGTGTGAGAAAACGAAGGTTGCACACTTTTGTATTTGGGTCGAAGAGATTTTATACGAGCCTCATTGTTGGTTTCAAATGTATTGATAGCTAAAATTCACGAAGGTTTGAAACAACTGTCGATGTGAAAAGTTAGTATGTACAGATATGCAACACGACCACACTTCTATCGAAGGAGAGCGTCGTTTCAGAAGAACACGGATAAAGCCATCTGATGCCAAGGTTCAGATGGGGTACAAGTCACACAGAACTCTAGAGATTAGAAGCAGTTGGTGCCAAGCACAGCAAACGTGAAGTTACTGATTAGTTCATAAACGATTCCCGAGTACCCCTTGATAAAACATTCGCGGAGAGAAAAACAACCCAAGTCAAATCGATAGAAAATAAAGGCTTGTGCCCAGATTGCAAAAAGTACAGAAAGACGATGAATATATTCATAATGCCAGGTATAATGCTGGTTTATATACGAACACATGGAGGAGCGGGGTTTTGGGCGGCACCAGGCGAAAGGTTATAACAAGGGACACCACTGTGATGAAGGAAACGCTTACTCTGCTTTGTTCGCGGAGTGGCTGTTGAAAAATTACACAAGATCAAGCAAATCCATTGGGATATTTGCATACACGTGTATTTGTAGCGGAACTGATAGCCATGGAAACCGGTAACAGTCTAGCCGGAAAAAGTGTTGACGTGTGCAAATAGTATCGACCCGGTGCTTGACAAAGTTTTGCAAAACAATGGCAGTTAGAAACGAAGGCGGAACTCACATTTCGCCGAGGCTGGTGTCTGACTCTTCGAAGCTATTCCGAGCCGACCGGACGGAGTGGATCGAGCGGGGGCAGCTGTCTTCGTCATCGCGCCTAAATAAATTAAAGGCAGAAGGGAACACGACGAAAGCTGGTGAACTGTCTGGGCTTGATGCCTTCTCCAGCTACGTAAATTCGGTCAACAGCAAAAGGTCACAGATCATTACTTCAAATTTGAATAATCATAAATCGTTCAGCTGTAACACCCTTTCGGTGCCTAGTTGCCATGCCACACGAGGGCTGGGATACTGTCAGGTCGCCCAAGCCTAGACAGGGGAAGTCGAGAGGCAGAGGTCGGGTTCGAACCACGGACCTTCTGGGCAGTAAATTCGCGCTCTAACCACTTGAACCAGCTCGCCCCGAATCATCATAAAGTCGCCTTCGGAGAATCCAAAAGGTCCTCCTCAACCCAAAACCTCGCGGGTTATTGTTTAGAACTCCACCATAATCGTACGGGTTGGCAGGTCAGTAACCTTAGAAAGCATAAACTACTTTTAGCGGCACAGGCCGCACCACGTGACTCAACGACCTCTCGTTAGACGTTTTCTAAGCTCCATTTAACGTAGTGGGATGTTTTTTCCAAGCACATCATTCAAGTACCCATTCAACATCGCGTCGCATGTTACGAATTACGCTGTGAAGGCTGATCATAGTAAAGGACAAATGAACCAAATTACTAGTCGACTGTAACTATGATGTTCGCACTCGTGTCGAACTAATGCGGGCATCATTCGCCAGAGACGCACTACGGACTGTGCTCACCTGATAAGAAGAAAATTCATGTTTCTCGTGTGACAAACTGCAACTTTTTTAGTTGTCGTTACGGCATGCGACGCACTAGAAAATGGTGTAATTTGGTAAACGTGTAAAGTAGTGTTGGGCAAAACTGAGTACGTATTCTCAAAATAAACGCAGAGAAAAGAGAGGAAGAAGCGCTTCTTTCGGTTAAGCCTTCCTGGACAAGAATTGTCCACATTGAAAAAGGGATTTTGACCACTCGTGAGTAGCTGATCTCGCTTGACGAAACAAGCCTGAGCTGACGTAGAACACTGTTTTGGACGTCTTAGGGTGGTGATATCTCCCTCTTGGAGAGAAAGCGTAAACGCCAGAGTGAAACTTTGGCAAGACTGAAGGACATCAAGTGTTTAATAATTGTTCGGTGCAAGTAGAAAAGATCCCGTCACTCTATTTCAGCTTTGATTTCACATACTTATTATCAATAATCGAGTGCAGATATATTAAACCGTTTAAGCGGTACACGCGGTTTCCCGTCAATGTGATCAAACACACTGCACATATGGTACCCTGCCGAAGGGTTCAGCCATACAGGGCGTTCCGCGCTTAACGGGGCTCATCAGACGAGCGCGAATAGGGGTGGTCACACTATCAATTGGCTTGTAGTTATGAGCTCACAACCGATGACCAGTAAGGTTAAACAAAGCAGATACGATTGAAACGTTTAAGCGGCACACGCGGTTTCCCGATAATGTGATCAAGCACCCTACAGACGTGGTACACTGCCATACAGGGCGTCCCGCCCTTATCGAGGCTCATCAGACGAGCGCGAATAGGTCACACTATCCATTGGCTTGTAGTTATGAGCTCAGCACTAATGACCAGTAAGGTTAAACAAAGCAGATACTGACAAGTGGCAAGGCTACTCGGAGGCTTACTTTGCAAACCAGATTTACTTCTGGCCGTCTCGCTGGAGCATACACAATCTCCACAATCTGGCCACAAGCCCCAGTTTTGTCACGGTCAATAAAATCCCACTCTGATATGGCCGTGAGATGCAATGAATACCAGTATTTTCTTGCACAAATGGGACCGATAATGCTGCACGCGCCATTAGAAAACCTTTCCTGAAGAGAAAGGGATGCATCATCTGTGTTTAGCTGACATCTTAGTGATCCACCCCATGCGGATTCGTGACAGCAGTTTTTGATCCAGGGTAGCATGACAGATGTGAACCATCTTTGTTTGTGACAACGGTCTGGCTAACGATAATCGCCACTCGGTCATGACCAGAGTGAGGGCCCGTCCCAATATCCCGCACAATGATGGAGTGACCTCGGTACTAGTGTGACGGAGGGTACTACTGATGAGGTATGCGAGTAGCCTGCGGTTTTCTCGAAACTCTGCTCCGCGTCCAATGGAAGGTGAGGTTTATTACGGAACTGCTTCTCCGTGTTTGTTTACAATTGCGTGATAGTCAATGACTATCCATGAAAGTTCAAGAAGACGCATGAGGATGTTCCGTTTTTGGGCGGGTACTACTGATGAAGTATGCGAGTAGTCTGTGGTTCCTCAAAGCTTTGCCCTTCGCAGCAAAGGGTTTTTCTCCTTATACTAATATTGTGGTGGTCATCAAACAACCACAAATAGGACTGCTAGAAAAGCTTTCCTTTACCCGATCGGTCAGTTTCTTCCCAGAGCAGCCTCAGATCTGACAACGACACAGTGAACACTCAACCTAGGAAAGTTTAGAAATTTAAAGCTGTCGGGTGAGAAAAACATTCATTCAACAATAAAAAAAAGTCCAAACGTAAACAAGTGGTAGAATAGCATATGACCTCGAAGTACGAAAGTGACAATAAACCGCGTAGATGGTTCAAACAACTTAAAGTAGGGAAGTAATGCCAAAGGCCACACACACGAGACGACAAATTGTTGATCAGCTCGGGCGTTCCTGAACTCCGGAGGTTAGTTGCCTCAGTGAGTAGGGAACGGGCAACTGGACGCCATCCTCCCAAAAACACAGTTAGCTAGCTAGCTCGTAATGTGAAAAGAATAACCCTCTGGGCGTTGGTATCCGAACAAACGCTACTCTGGGTGAATTGGACTGGTGTCTTGTGGCGCCATTATTGATAGGGTGACTGCCATCGACTGAGTACCTTTAGCGTGACAAAAGCCGTTGGATCTGAGGGGGTGAGGTTAGCGCTGGTTAAACCTCAGTGATTTGACCTTGAAATGGAGGTTCAAATAGGTCAAAAGGCCGAAATTACGATCTTCGAGTTCAGCGTTTTGGAAATTGTCCAAAATACTGAGCACATATCAAGTTTGGGCGGAATTCGTAGTGCTCAACTCTAAACCAGTGCCTTTTGTCACATGACACAATAGAAAACGCTTTCTTCCTCTGTTTAACAGAGTGACGTAAAACGCTGTTTGCATCGAAAACAAGTCCGGTTGGTACCGGTGAGTAATTTTTCTACTTACATTGCAAAGATGCCGAATGGAGTGTCGGTCAAAAGTACGGCTGTCTCCCACCGCCAGCAAGTGGTTGAATCGAGTCTTCGAGCGACAACAGTCAGGAGAGCGGTAACTCCCACCCACAACCCCTGCGAATGAGTTAGCTGGTCCCAAGTATATAACTCTGGGAAAACCTTAAATTGGTGGATAACTCCAAACTTCCCCGAGTTGCTCAACGGTGATTAGTACTCATTGATTCCAATGAGAAAAATAGCTTGCACAGATAAATTTTACAACCAAACTGATATCGTGGGGAATTAGGGAATCAAGCTAGAAGACAGAATGTAAAACTCAGAAGAGGCTATGTGTATCTGGAATAAAAGCGTGACGGAAATTGGACAAGCAACAGAAGGTCAACTTAATTAACGCTCACCTCTAGTTGTCGAAGCGGGAACCACAGGTGCGGGTAATCCTTGTGGCTTTCCCCAGGCAAGCAAAGGATCAAACTGCTCTGGGAGTTCACTCACGGGCGATTCGCCTGGTAGAGTTGCACTATTACCGGATTCCGACACCGGGCTTGTCAAGTGAAGAGTATGTTGAGGATCCTCAGCCGGGTGCGATTCGTTAAATTCCATCGATTTCCGAAGTGCCTGAGCGTCGGCAAGACCGGCTACATTGACAGAGGCAGTCGAAAGACAGTAGAATAAGCAAAGAATGATAACGTACGACAGAAAACAAGCAAGCGAAAGAAACGCATCGAAAGTTGTGTCACTTACAAATCACTTTGAAATTCGATGAGGGAGAAAGATCACCATATTCAACCCAGTCATCATCAAAGTGAGAAGCATTTCCATTCGTATGCACACCGTTTGTCGCCGACATCTGGGGTTGTGTAAAAGACGTTACTTCCGGGTCATCGCTGGTTCCATTTTCGTGTGTATCAAGGTGATGGTGATCTGGTGCGAACTGAGCGGTCGATAAACGTGCATCGGAGTGCTCCGGAACGGAGTCGGACGTCTCTTCCGGCTGAGTTGAGCTCACAGCGGCAGCACCTCGAACTACTGAGTCGACAGAAGCTTCCGATAACGGACTCGCGAGGCTTTGATTGGAAAATAAAGCGAGTAGCTGATTGTTATAGGGTGTGTTGGTTAGGCACGCTATTAAGCATTGGGAATGAATTACAAAAACCGAGAGCCGGAGTCGATCCCCGGGTCCACACAGAGTAAAATCGGTGACTTGCTAGGATAGGAAAACTTACTACCGATGAGTAGTCATTAGGTTGCATCAACCACACAACGGTGTATGCATTTATTCTCATGTCTACGAAGGTATTGAATAACAACATCAAAAGTTTTCCGTACTTTTGATATACGTTAATATCACGTGATTCTGCTTCTACGGTAAACCAGTAAACTCCGTCTAGTGAACATCTCACCGTAAAAGGAAAATTCTACCAAGCAACTCAACTCAACGCGATCCATCCCTTACTTTTATCTTTTTAGGGGATGGGAAGGGGGAAACCGCAGAAGATTGGTTGTCTCAACAGCCGGAATAATCAAAAAGACTCGAACGTCCTTTGGTTAGTGTATGTAGTTTTTTTTTAATTGAAGGCGTCTCTTCTAATTATATGGCCTGTAACGTTACGGAAAGTGATGGAAACGGCTGAAAACGTAGTGTGGATTGTATTGTCAAGAGGATGCATTTTCCGGGTACACTCGGTCGAACATTTCTGGCTCGAGTGCATTGTAACAAAATCGATCGTTGCTGGTCGGAAGAACCTTTTCTCGTTTGCGTGTGTGCAGTAAGTGCTGCGCTTGTCTTTCATTCAGGTGTTTTAAGGAATCTTGCGTTGGTTATGTGGTATGCATGGAATGGTAAGTCTGGCTGTTGTACATCACCAAGAATGTGCACTATGGTCAAAGCATCGCGTAACAGACACTGTCTCTTTCGAGATTTCGCAAGGTCAGCGTTTGTTAGTCATTGATCAAACTTCCCGATTACGCCTTATTACTAAATGCTTTCTTCGTCAGATTTTGGTTCGTCCATCATAATGGAAATTTTTGTGGGAGAGCGTTTTCTTTGGGAAGGGTTTTCGATCCTAGGCGTCAAAAACTAAGGAACCAATGAATATGGCCGCATAATATTTTACTCGTTGGTTTTGACCTATCAGGAGTGATGTAGCGGGGCCAATCAACGTCGTAAATGGACAACCTAAATTGATCACGAGTTATGCTACCCTCCAAAAAGAACAGTGACTTGTGAGAGAGAAGTGATGACGCGTCAGTCGAACCGCTGAGGCTGAAAAGCGCAAGGGTGATGCGGAACGGTGACTCCAGACAGTAGAACTTGGCTACAGCAACTAACTCACATCGTACGTTGAATTAATAGGTGCCAAAACACTTTAGTGAATATAGGCCATGTTTCCTTCGATATTCTCAGTGTCTGCTCGATTCCACACTCGACTTCCCCTGTCTAACCTTGGGCGACCTGGCAGTATCCCAGCCCTCGTGCCTCTTTCGTGTGGCATGGGAGATAGGCCCCAAAAGGGTGCTACAGATCGACGACTTCCCCTGTCTAACCTTGGGCGACCTGGCAGTATCCCAGCCCTCGTGCCTCTTTCGTGTGGCATGGGAGATAGGCACCAAAAGGGGGCTACAGCTGGACGATTTTTTCCCCATCCATCTCACGACAATGATCTTTGTCAATTCTGATCTGCAGCATATTACCATATTGCATACGTCACTATGAATGTTTCACACTCTGCCCTTACCATCTGAATCGCTCATCGATGGCTTGCTGAAAACTTTCTGGCAGCAATATAATCGGTGGTAGGTTACGCATGGACTTTCGTCATATTGTGAGACCAAACCAGATGGCTCAGTGGTTAGAGCGCGAATTTACTGACCGAAAGCACGTCCGTGGTTCGAACCCGATCTCTGTCTATCGACTTCCGCTATCTAGGCTTGGGCAACCTGGCAGTATCCCTCGTGCTTTCGTCTGGTGGCATGGCAGCTGGGTACCGAGAGGGTGCTACAGCTGAACTATTGTCACACATCGAATATCGTAACGCTGAAATACGAGGCCATGTTCTGCACCACATTTAGTTAAATCAATAAATAAATAAATAAATAGTCAAATATGACCATAAAAAAAGATTCAGCTGGGTTCGACTGTAAAAACTAGATTACCATGCAAATGAGGGTATTTGGCGAATATATTAGGCTTGTTGTCAGTGAAGTCCAATCAGGCCAGTTGAATCCACCCGAAAGAATTGCATAGCAGGTGAGGCTAAACCCTGTTAGAAACTTGAAACAACTGTCCCGAATTCTGTTACCGACAGTTACCCAAAACATACATTTCGGTACCACAATCAATGCTCAATGAGCTTGAGTTAGTTCAGCGGTCAAAGCGCGAACTTACTAATAGAGAAGGTCATGGTTCGCACTCGACCCCCCGGCATCTCGACTGCTCCTGCTTTGTGCAACCTCATAGCATCTAAGCCATCGTGTTTCTATCCCGTGGCATGCACCAGAAGTGTCTCACAGCTGAGCGATTGTTAGTTACTTATTCAATTATTCAAGGCCCCGTAAATAAAAACAGGAGCAAGAGTTTCAACAGGGTCCCTGCACTTTAGACAAAACTGCAACCGCACTGTTATGGACCACTCCTTTGGAGGATCACCACTCCGCAGCTCGACAAAGCAACGCATGCCAAATGATCCGAAAAACCGATCTATCCGTCTTTCCCCACTCACAGGCAGGGAAAATAGTTAATATCCACTCATCACACGGAAAATAGACGCGCACGTCTTGTTTCAGGTGAGTCCCGTTCGATAAAATCGTGAAAGAAGAGTTAAATTACTAAATCAGAGGGGAAAAGTATCCGAATAACGGACCAGAATAAGTTCTCAACAACCGATGTCCTGGAAGAGTTTTTAACAAGAGGATACCATAAAGAATTTCTCATCATCTCAGTACATCGCCTATTCAGGAAAAATCAGTGACAAACTCACAAACCAAAACTGAATCTTGGTCCACGTTGTTCAGACCACCGTGAACCTCAACAGTTGCAAGCCGTCTCTTAGTCCTGGCATGGCATGGTACTAGTGTAGTTTAGTCTTCTGGCGGGCCGTTGTGCACAACCCAACCGAAAGCAGACCAAGAAAAGCAGCAGAAAAGTAACATCTTCAGAGTGGCGAAACAGGGATTCAGATGCACTTACTTATGCTGGTCATCCAGGTGATCTCCGGTTGCATCCAGCGTTAGTGGAGTGAAATCGCGCACAGATTCTGAATCCTTCAGGGCCGTGGCACAATCGATTGCCGCTCCGCCATCAATCGTGGTTGAGTCAGCCGGCTGTTGCAAGTGATGCTCAAACTCCACTTCATCTGTATGACCAAATGAAACCTGATCGTGAGAAGCTGTAAGTTCAACAGGAGATGTCGTAGAATGTACAACATCGGTATCCGATAGGAAAGACTGTGAGAAACTGGCCGGATGTTGGGATGCTAGGAGTTCATCATCCAGTGTATCGGCTGGAGCAATGTATGTCGGCTGATCAGAACCATACATTGAAGATTCAGGGTGCGATTCGGGCAGAATGTCACTCATCTGCTCAGGACGTCGTTCTCCAACCGTTTCAGAATGTAAATATTCCGCTGATTCTTCAGGTGCTGTGTCGGCTTCATCTGCAATCCATTTGGAATTACTTTCAGGTGCCTCCTGGTTAAATCTTTCATCCGAACTCTCCGGAACACCAGGTGATTGTTTACCTGAATAGTACTGGGGTTCAGACCTCGGAACCCCTTTACCAGAGGCCAAGAACTCTCGGTCGTTGTCATCCAGATCACTTATGTCTGAGCCTTGATCTCTAGATGTCAAGGGGGGAACGTCTTCCTCGTGTACAGACCAGCCGGGACTTCCAAAAACCTTAGTGGACTCCACGATTCTCTCCGGCGGTGCAAAAGTAGCCACATCATCAGATACGTTTTGTTCGAGATGTGTGCTAACGGGAGATGAAAACGCGTCATAGGGCATTTCTGTTGTAGGCCCTTGTGTCAACTGTGTGTCTGGCATGTAAGGTGTTGTACCTTCAAGAAGGCTGGAACTTCCATTTACCGGCGTTTCTGAATGCATGTAGTCAGCAACATCATCTTCGTTTGGTGAATGTTTGACCGGCTCTTCTACTTGTCTTTCGGGATGCATATCTGACTGCGTTTCGAAGGCCTCGAAGGATGATGGAATTCCTTTTTCTTCTTCGGTAGCTTCAACATCGTGGGATTCTAGCGGCTCCGAGGTGTCTTGTACGTGAATGTCTTGTGTAACTAAAGACGATGTATGCATAACGTCAAACTCAGCATCTTCCTTGGTTGGTACGTGGTCAGTTGCTTCTTCAACGTATTGCTCAGGAGATATGCTTGAATGGATTTCAAACGCACCAGAGGAGATTTGTTCGTTTTCAGTACCTTCGGGTTGGTCCCACTGCTGTGTTCCCAGTACGTCCGGTACAGCATCATGCAACGGAATACCATCCTCGGTTGACGCCAATTTGTCCATAAAGTTGGATTCATCGTACTCGACATGCTCCTGGGTTAGTGAGTACTCATTTTGTTCAGGAGACCTGCTCACAGGGAATTCCTGTTCAGTGGGGGTGGCCAATACCACATAACCAGCTTCAGCCAATTTGGAATCGTGTTCGGGCTGCGCTTCTGGCACTTCTGATGCATAATGTTCGTGAGGAATATCCTCCCCGGTGAATGGCGATTCAGCCATTGCGGTTAGACTTTCATATTCGTCACCCTCTCTAACTGAGGTATGATCACGGAATTCCTCGAGGGGTTGGTCTGAATATCTGTCTGCGGTAATTTCTAAATCTGCGGATGAAGCTAATATCGTATTCTCGTCTACAGCCAAGTTGAATTTGGGCGCTATTTGTGTCTCTGGTTCGTCTAAAATAGCATCTTCATGGTAAACATTGTCTCTCGAAGATGGTGACTTATCCGAATCGACCATTTCCGCGAGGGTCGAATACCCAGTCGACGCAGCGAAAGGGTGATCTGACTCCACGGTACCCGCGTAGTCCTCGGATGAGTCCACTGCATTGATCATATCCATTACGGCCTGGTGGTTTTGCGCAATATCTGGTTCCGACACATTTGCAAAATCAGTTGGTTGACCCCTGTGGTCGTATTCTAACTCAGCATCCACATCTGTTTCCTGTGTTAATAACCGATGGTCATGAACGGGTTCGACATCTGAAGTAGTTGTTGGCGATCCAACAACTTCAGGCAAATGTTGAGGAGCGTCTTCTTTGTCACTGGGTGCAATATCTTCCAAACTGTCTGTTCTCAACTCAAGCTGTTCCGAGGGATGGTCTACGGCGGCAAACGTGAACGGTTCTGATTTGTCTAGATGTGTGGACGTTGGAAAATCGTGATGAACTGCGTCACTCGTTAAGTCAGAAGGATACCATTCCGAATCATGAGGTGCGCCCAAAGGTACCGATGCGGCGTCACTTCCATCTAGACTATCTGGTCGTACCGGGCTGGGCTGAGAAATCTGCTGGTCGTAATACGAGAGACGGGATTCATCTGGAACTTCGGTTGGCTCATGAACCATTTCCGTCTCTGGTTGCTCTAGTACTGCATTCGCTGAGTCTTCCAGTGGTGATCCAAAACCAGGTTTCTCTTCTGGATGCTCCAAGTGTGATCCCAAATGAGGTGTGTTCTCTCCGATTGGTGATGGAGAGGCTGACACATGTTCGAAATGACCTACACTGGTTTTATTGGGTGATGAGTCATATGCTTCATCAGACATATCGTGTTGTTTGAGCTCATCCGGAACTCCGTATCCAGGAGCCAACATTTCCGCGAAACTGTCAGGCCTGACGTTCATGTCTGTCCCCGTAATTGGAGAAAGCCCGCGAGGCGGTTCAAGTCCCACTTGTCGACTGTCCTCTGCTCTTTCAAAGTACCCCGGCACAAAGCTTTCGACTTTGGATTCGTCTACTTTCTCCACGGACTCATCCACTTCGACTGGTGGCTCTTCATGAGCCACGTTGTGCATTTGTTCATCAGAAAACAATTCATTCGTGACTGAATGTGGAACTGATGAAGAGGATAAAAGAGTGTCGGCGCGTGCCGAGGTTTGTACTGGGAGGTTCTCCTCTCCTAAATCCGATGTATCTAGTTCATTCGGGTACGAACCCTGAACAGCTGGATCAATAAGTTTCAAAACGCTAGCAACCGAAGGATCAACAGTCTCAAAATGCTTGGATGTGTCTGCCTCTGAAACAGATCGATCATGCATTTCCGGTTCTGCGTATTGATCTTCATCCATGTGGGTGAAATGCGCTGCCTCATCTTCCGTCTTTTCGTGACCAACAGGTGCTAAAATCTCCTCATCTACTGGTCTGTCTTCGTAAGTATGTTGTCCACCTTCAAAGTCTAATCCACTGTATTGATTCCCCTCCGGTATTGAAGCTTCCTCCATCTCATCGGCTTCATCAAAGTGTTCAAACTTATGTACTTTGTACAATTCAGCCGGTTCTGGAGCTCCAACCTCAGCGCTGTAGCTGTCTTTTATTGGCTGCGGTTCTTGAGCAGATTCGGATGCGACAGCAACACGTGTCTCGGACTGTTCCATGGAGCGCCATCCTGACATGAGCGGATCAACAGCAGCCAATTCCAATGAGTCACGTAGCTGCTCGGCATTTGTGGGAGTTCCATGGGGTGACTTGTCGTCCAAAACAGTTGTCGTGGGGGCGACTTCTTGGGGAGGTTCTTCCGGCAGAGGTGAGTGAGCCTTCGGTTTGGAGGTCAACGATGGTGGTATCTTTGAGGTGGGCGTTGCAGCAGAAGTAACAATCGGTTTTGACTTGGGAGCCGCTGGCGTGGCTGAGGCAGTTTTTTTACTAGCCAACAGGTTTGCATGAGCGGCGAGCTTTTCAGCTGTTGTTTCGTTCTTTGTTTTCACGGAAGACGGTCTAGGTGGAGGCACAGAGGACGTCGTTTTAGCAGAAGCTGGCTTTGCTGAATTCAAACCTTTCGCTTGTGTATGGGCTGTGTGTGGTCTGGCTGGAGCTTTGGTTGCCGGAGGCGCCGCTTTGTTCGGCTGTGCTGTGTTGGCGCTAACAGGACGTTTCGACGGAGCTGCAACGGGCTTCCTAGGAGAAGCATCACGCAGTGGCTTGCTTGGCGTGTGGTTTCCCAGTGGTTTGTTTGTTGTGCTTTGCACTCTGGGTTGTTGCGGAGAGGTTTTCAATGCAGTCGTGCGGCTAAAACAGAGATGAAAAGTACAAAAAATGAAAACAAGCTTCGAGGCCAATCGTCCGGTCACGCACGACTATTAGCAGTTTAAAACTCTACTAACTGGGACGCAAATGGGAGGAAAACATCGGAGTCTGAAAGGCAGCCGTTCAAATATGTCGCCGTCTTCCGAGAGAGTTTAATTCGAACACAGTCTGCACGAGTACCAGAATTAGGCGCAGCTTAGGTAATAAATAGGGGCGAGATGGACCAAGTGGTTAGATCGCGAATTTACTGACCGGAAGGTCCGTGGTTCGAATCCGACCTCTGCCTCTCGACTTCCTCTGTCTAGGTTTGAGCGACCGGACAGTATCCTAGCCCTCGTGCTTCCTTCGGGTGGTATGGCAGTTGGGCACTGAAAGGGTGCTACAGCTGAACTATTTTTTTAGGTAATAACTCAACCTGACATCCCAGGGTTCGAGACCAGTAGACGGATTATTAAAGCTAGGGCGATCGACTTCAACACCATATGTTCCAGCCTGGGCAATTGTGTGCAATTGACAATGATTGGCACGGCAGAAATGGATCCTATGTTACTTCCATCAAGTAAGTAGTTTGAGAATAGGGTCACTCAGTAATCCAATCTAGCTTTCACGCTACACTCCACTTCGAATCAGATAGTGTAACTGTTGGGTTGTTGGGCGATCCACATGTCGAAGAACTCCATCATATGTAGAGCAACACAGGGAAGTAATCACCTGACAACTATCAGAGGCTTCTGACAGTAATACAGACTTAAAGGTTGAAGAGCCGAATTGGCTAGACTAGTTCATAATAATTATTCGTCTTTACGTAATTTATAGCTCCTTCAGTTGGAGCAGTTACCTTCAAGTGACAAAAGCGTGGACAAATTTCGTGCTGATCGCACAAATTGGTGAACAGTAGACTCACGTGCTTAGAGGTTTTGCAGAACTTCTCATGCTGATCGACTTATCTTCCAGTTGTGGAACAGTTGCGAGTGACTTGATCAATCGACCGAGGCCTTGGACTGGACTGGCACCAGACAACTGTGTTGTCGGCAGAAGGATACGCAGTGGCGGATTGCTGTTGTTGACAGGCTGATCCAGTCGTGAACTCCACAGAAGCACCAAACCAGCACGTTGCGCAAGCGGTTGGAGTTTCAATTCTCCCCAACCGAACTTTGCGTAGAGGACAAGAGGTGGAGGCAGGTTTTCCGTCGCCAGATTATTCGATGCCCAAGTGGACTCCTGGGCAACGGAAGCGGAAGTAGGATGAGATAAAATGAATTCGTTTGTCGGTTCATCCGGTGAGGATGGAGTGTAAGGTGGCGGGAGAAGAATCGCACCCAAAACATTGCTTTCAGGAGTTCCACTTTTAAGCACGTCATGTAAAAACTGATAGGTTAACAGGTTTGACGCAGACCAATCGGGTAGTACAACGGCATCCAACCTGTGGAACAAAAGAAATCAAGTTTAGTGGGGAAAAATGACATCCAGAAAATATGCCAATCAATTGTAGTTAATCGATAATCAAAGTAACCTGAGTTTTAAGTCACCAGGTAATCCAGAAACAAGAGGGCAAATAGATTTTGACTATCGCAGAGCAAACGACCCGGCGCCCAGATACCATGAAACGGAGCATATATGACAGTCAAGAGTCGGAAGTTTGGACACAATTGCAGCCCTCGTGCAACCTTCGGGTGGCATGGCAGTTAGGCACCGGAAGGGTGCTACAGCTGAACGATTTTTTCATCATCATTGACAGGATGACATCAGTGTTCAACGCTGATGCTTCGCTGCCGTACAACCATGATTTATTTGAGAGACTTATTGTGAATAAAAGAACAAAGATGGACAGGGAAGGGACTTAGTGCTACAACCATTCCGAGATGCCTACACCTTCGGGCAATCTGGATAAAACTGACAACAAGATCGCCGCTGACATCGGTTGACAGCCATTACTTGCAGCTTCTCCAACCAGGCGCAGTGAGGATCACGCGGCCCCCCTTTTGAAAGACGAGTAGCACCGACAGCACCCGAACGTTTCGTAAGATCTTTCATACCCTTCTTCTAGAATAAAGGTTGGTCACCTCTCTGCCTCCGCCACTCTGAACTGGGAACGGAGAACATCGCTCTCTTCAGCAAGCAATAGTTCGATATGCGCAGTACATGGCTCAACCAATACAGCTTCCGGTGCTGGACATATTAGTTAATGAAAGTCCCCATTGCACGATCAAAAATTCACTTCCTGATTGCCTCGTTGAGGACCCTCGGACACAAACCCATACGAGCTATGGTCCTGAGACAACGATTGTTCAACGCCCAAAGACGTCTCAGTTTCGCCGCTTGAAGAGGCCGAGTCTCACAGCCACTCAGTAAAACAGCCCGCACTGTAGCTTGATACACACATCTCTTATGATTTAGGGATATAACTCTTTGACGCCGAAGGTGTCTCAGAGTAGCAAACGTGACCAGAGCCTTGCTGATTCGTGCATTGACCTCATCTGTCACACTACGATCAGGACCAATAAAACCTCCAAGATACGTAAAACGCTCCTTCAAGTGTTTCTGCCTGGATTGTAAGTGGCGTGTTCAGTGACTGCATGTCCAGGAGTATGGACTTACACTTTGTAAGTTAAGTATGCATGCTAAAGATGGAATGACTTTGGTCAGTTCACCCAAAAACACTTGCGCACTCCCTTCGGCTTCGAAGACGAGAGCGATGTCATCTGCATATTCCAGATCGACAAGATTTTCGTCACAGACTTTTTAAAATCCGGGGTTTCGGAGACCTTCAAACGTTCGTCTCACGATCATGAAACTAAATGGAAATGGAAAAAGCGGGCAGTTCTGACGGACACCACTTTGTGCTACCGTCTGTCACGTGTTGAAAGATGACTGCCACGAGGCTGTTGGCTGGTATTTTGTGAAGGCTAATGGTGGTTAACAATCAAAGTGGACACATCATTCCTGCAAGTAAGGTGTACAGCTACATTGATTAAGCCTCCCCGGAACTTCTCTTACGAGACTGTCGATCAGCATTACCGGCGACCTAGACATACCTTCGAGAAATCGAAAGAAATGAGTGAAAAACAAGGGTAGTAGCGATTCGTGAAGGAGGGACGGTTGACAAGTGGAAGCCTTGCTCGTTGTATGAGCAAGTTTGAGTGTCTGTTGATCGATCGGGAGTCACAAGTCCTGTAATAATCGGGCCACTGTTCAGCTAACCTTTGAGCAGTTATGGGAACCCCGTACGGCCTCGGAGGTTCGTGATCACACGTGTTCTCTCAAGCACCACCGAGCTTCTGGTCCGGATGACCTCCCAATTCGAAGATGGGGGTGAAGTCTCCAGTCAGCGCTTCTCTGATCTGTTTGCCTGCATCTGGGGAAAAGGAGACCGTCCCAGATAACTTGGGTAGGTCGATGATAGTGTCATCTTCAAAAGTAACCACAGGACTGTGAGTTTGATTCCCGTTGTGACGTGGCTTCTAACGCCACTGCTTTTTTGTAGTTTTAGCGTGGCGCGTAAAAACCTGACCCGTGAGCATCAAGCAGGATTTCAACCGCGTAGAGGCTGAGTTGACCAAACCCGCACACTCCGTCAGGTTCTGGAGCAACACCATATGTACAGACGGCCCACAATCTTGGTGTTCTTTGACTTCAAGGATGCGTTCAACTCTGTCGACCACACTTGGTCCAGGAGTTTGTGAACATGACCTGATCCCCATATTCACATACCTCTGGTAGTGTGAGAGTGTACGGTGAGTTCTTCAGAAGCTTCCCTACGAAAAGTTACGCCAGAAAAAGATGACCACTCTCTCGTTGTTCTTGATGAAATCATGAGGCGAACGCTGGAAGGTCTTGAAAACTTCGGCGTTTAAATCGCTGATGGTGAGGACCTTGTCGATATGCAGTACGCTCGTTGTTCTGAAATCATGAGGCGAACGCTGGAAGGTCTTGAAAACTTCGGCGTTTAAATCGCTGATGGTGAGGACCTTGTCGATATGCAGTACGCAAATAAAGCCGTTGATGCCTCAGAGTTGCTGCTTCTGTCGGGTAGTGTGGATGGATTTGTAACGAGGCAGTTGGTTGTGCAACAAGTAACCTAGTTGCAGAAAACATCCAGCGCGACGGCTCGGCCTACAAGCGGAAACATTATCTACTAACACAAGTGCTGATCTCCGTACCTGCTTCAGACTAGCGCAATCTGCGGGATGGAGAACGATTGATTTGGTAGAGGGTTAGGAGAGATTACGGGGAATGAATGGATTACTGGGTCATGAATGGTCTCCTTGAGCCCCCCTCCCCTCAGTTTGGCTGGAGACAATGAAAGAAATAGCGACTACTGGATATCGGTGATGCTCGTGCCGCCCGTTACTTTCCAGATCGTCTGGCTGAGAGCTTGGGCTGGCATGCACAATAAATGCTTCCAACAGGCTGGCATCAAGTCCGTTCACCCTTTTCTCTTTCTCCATTCAGGCCTTTAAATATAACTAAACAGATGTGATTATAGGCAGTTAGGCACCTGTGTAAACATTGATGCCCGATCCTCTGAAACAGTTATGCGCAGAAGAAAAACTTTGTGACAAAATGTTGCAATTAGCTGTATGCAAGCTCAAATCAGAAAGCACTATAACCTGACCGCCTTTTGTTGGGGATCGTTTTAAAATTAGTCTCCCCCTAGTAATTGTTGACGCGCGTATTCAATTTTTTACTGTTGCACTGGTATGACTGAGCAACGTATGGGTTTGTTTTCATCTTTCACAGCAGTTGAGAAGGCGTTAAACGAATACCTGAAGGATAACTATGTGGTATTTGTGTGCGCAGCGGACAAAAAGTGTACCAACGTTGCTCTGCGTTATGAGGGGCCGTAGTACCAATGCCGCATGTAGCTCCACAAACAGAGTAGAAATTCAGGAATCCGAAGAAACTGACAAGTTGAAAAAACAGTACGCAAAGCACCGGTTTCCCAGTTTGTCCGGCTGTGTCTACCACCAACCGACTGACTATCTGTAAACCGGCGGTTTACCAAAGAGGAGTTTGGCACCTACAGGGTCCTGATGAAATATGGAACGCCGTCGTGTGAAGTGCGGCAGTTTGTAGCCCATGAATTCCGCAAGGTTCTTACCACTCAGAAACTTTACATCTGCCGGCGGAAATGTCAACTGGCTCTGATGAGTGAGTGTCGGATAGTTGTACGGTCTTCGGTCCTGGGGAGGCTTCGCTAGTCCGGACAGGTCCTTGTGTTGTAGTCTGGAAAGGGCGCCAAACCCAAACATGCCTCGACAGACACACGCAACCGACCGATTTGAGTTGGTCTTTTCAAAGCAGCTGAGATATGGCCCGTGGATACAAGTTCTACACCTTCTTCATCACAGATGGCACTGGGTATGCCTTTGTGAAAAGCAAGCAGCTCACTCTTTTGCAAAAACTTTTCACCGACGAATTTTCAGCAACCTTATGAGTAGTGCGTTGCGTGTATACATGTATCGCGATATCGCGAATATCGTAAGTTGTGAAACATGAGGCGGCCTGGTGCAGCACACTCAGTTGCCTGGAAACATCACAAACGAGAGATTCAGCTGGGTTCCAGGTGAGTCTCTCGAAAAGCCAAATTAGTTTGCAAATGAGCGTAGTTCGACAGGGTGAAAGGTGACAATGAGTCTGTGTTCGTTCTTATTTTAGTGTGAACCTGCAACATTTCGGCACCAGAATGGGAAGGGGACCTCCTGAACGAGGGTAATACGGATATAGATTCAACTCATGAGTACCACTCACTTTGGCAAATTCCTTATCATCGCCCACCAATTGGGTGGCTTATTCGATGTGAACGCTCCTCCAAGTAGCATTGTAAACCCCTGGATGGAGAACAGAGCGCTCGCCTGAGAAGTGATTCCTCCACCAGGGAAGAAGTAGAGCGCGGGTCGTTGTGCCGATAAGGCACAACCCAGAGGAATCGAATCCGAACTCAGGGACAAAACGGTGGACGGGTGATGATCCATTGCAAGTTGAACGAAACTCCGAATCCCTTCGTACGCGGCTGGAATAGGAAGTTCATAGGAATCGATTATCCACACTGATTTAGTAAACCCGGCATTGTCATCATGATAACTAGCAGAACAAAAGTTCTAAAAGACGTAGGGTTCAGTTTTCTCGAACATCAAGCGCTAAGGATGATGGGTAGACAGGCGGATAGTGACATCTGCGTAGGCTGGAATCAAATAGGAACGGGCGGGATGGAAATTCACACAATGAGTCATCAGTGCCCAAGACAGAGTCACGTGGCACACAGAAATTTGTATGAAATACCACTGAAGAAAACTTTGAAGAGTATGAATGAATCGTTTTGCTATCGGAAGAAACCAACTCATTGCTGAGCAAGAATTTGAGGCACAGAACGATTTACGTGGGACTACGAAAGAAAGTAAATGTGTTGGAATATAGGTAGCTCGGGTGCATTTATTGTTAGGTGATCAGGTGATTTGTTCGCTGAGCGTCGCAAGTGACTTGCAGACGGTCCGTCACCATCACCGTTATACTTTCTGTGGTTTCTTCAGGCTTATGGTGCGACGTTTTTTAGGATAAGAACACACGAAGCTTGTGATGTCTTACAGAATGGCGTTGGACAAACCACGATGACGGTATCCATACTCTTACAGAATGGTTTCGTTTCAGAGAGGTTTGGTAAACAATCGATGGGTTTATTGCTGGGCAACGTTTCGCTTTTGACACAAAAGCTTCGTCAGGCCAAGTGAGTAAATAGGCAGGTTGATTGGGTTTTAAGGCAGTCAGGGAACGAATCCGTGAGATTTCCTATGACTAGCCGACTTGATCAGTGCTGGGTGTTCAGTCTGACGTTCCTGTTTGTTGGAAGGTGGGGTTGACTAACATTTACGATAGATTGGTTAGGGGGGATATTTGTCTTCACGATGAACCCGGATTTTTCGTCCTTGCTCTTTCAGCCTAGGACACCTTAATGGAAAATTCCTCTTGGGGTCGTTCACAGATTTCGTTCAACTGTGTTCGTTAAAGGGGGCCGGGACAATTGGTTTGGGGATGGGGTGGTTAATTAGATCTAACTCTACTTGAATCTTGTACTTTTTGACTCAGGCCATTTCGCTGATAACTGCACACCGCCTCGTGTCATCTCGGCTGATTTGAGACCGCTCTCCCTTTATTCTATTCACGCTGGGATGCTTGGCGATTCCCATCGCCTCAGCCATCAGTCGCTGTGGTGTGAATCTTAAACCTCGTCTCAGGATGTCCACAAACTCGACTAACGCAATTTGTAAATCTGGTACACTGATACAAATTTCCAGTACAAGGGTGAGGGGCCTGTGTAGATCTTTCCCAGATTGACACATCTGACTCGACTAATACAGTTTGTAAATCTAAATACACTGATACAAATTTCGGCTACAAGAGTGAGGGGCCTGTGTAGATCTTTCCCAGATTGACACATCTTCCGCGAAACCGGCAGCAGAGGTGAACGTGTTGGCTGTTGGCCGCCATCAATCAATCAATCAACCAATCATAATAATGACCTCTCTTTGCCTGAATGCAAAAGTGTAAATTCTACAAATCTCATAAGACAGCTTGTAAATTATTCCCACCAGGACAAAGTACTTTCCAGCGAACATCTCCTAGTCAGTCTTATTTCTGGATGTGTCAGTTGGACAACCCAGTCCAAATGGGCAGCTGGGTTGATTTTCATATTCAAGGAGATTGATTTCTCAGGGGAACTAAAGAATTTCAAGAAGGGAAAGGGATTCAGACACCACCAGGATTCGGAAGCGACCGAGGAACAAAGCTCAGTCGACTGAACTCACTGCCATGGGAACTGAAAGAGAACTTGTGGGAATGAAAGCAATCAAAATTGTAACCGTATGGGTAATTCACCTTTGGAAGTTGGCCAAAACACATCGAGGGGAAGGGAAATAAGCGGGTCGATTTGATCTCGAAAATAACTTAACTTGACAACGGAGTTAGACTTGATGATTGATCCAAACCCCTACCTTGGCTCTACCAGAGAGAAATGGTGAAATACGGATAGAGATAACCTTGGAGGTAGATAATAGGTTTGAAGCAATACCAGCAAACAGTAAGGTTAATCTGAGGCAGGAAGTTGTAATTATGTGAGCATTCGAAACAAAGCAAAGAACGGGACGACCCTACTCATTCGGCACTCCAGGAGGAAGTAATCGATCGAGTCCTACCAACAAAATGGCGATGAAGACAAACGAGATGGGAACACCAGTCTAGAAAAAAAATGGTCACGCGTGACAAGTCGAGGCACAATGCAAGACCAACTGTCACGCTAATCAAGTGGGCTAAAAGCACACCTTCGGCTCAGTCTACACAACCGACTGCGATGGGCCACTCCGGAGAAACTCACGCACGTCCAACCTTATTTTGCATTTTCCTAGAGGCCGGGAGATTTGGGTGACATGGGGGAAACAACAACATGGGGCGGAGGGACAGAACAAGAAGAATGATGGGCAGGTTCCCGAGGAATAAAGAACCGGTTTGATTGGACTGATAAGAAGCACTCGTTACAAGGAGCCTCTGCCGGTCACACAGTGAACGTTCTCGAGAAAAAACAGGTCCACCTATATGTACCTACAATCGACTTTCTCGTCAGACACAAGTTGCTGTGCAACTTGTCAAGGAAAGTCACCAGCACGAGAGGTTACCCACCACTCTTCGTTTGAGATGATTATGGCAGTTGGTGTCTCCTGAATAGGACATCTGTTCGAGATGATCGCACACCAGATTGTGGCTGTCGCGGACCTCTGACTACGTGGAGGACTACACTCATTTGCAAATCAATTTGGTCCCCATGAGAGACTCAACTGAATCGCTCGTTTACGATATTCTACAACTGAATGTGCCGCACACAGGCCGCCTCATGCTTCAGTTGGCACGATATTCGAGATATCGCAGTATGTTTTCACAACAAAACCAAATTGATTTGCATATGAGTGTATTTCTCGAAAACAGTCCAATTTGGGTTCAAGTAGAATATAAGGTTGACGGAAACTCGGGTACTGCGCCTACCTGATAAGCCCCAAGAAGGGCAAAACCGGTCGTGGGCTGTCGAAGAGTTTTCAGCAACCTTGTGAGTAGTTTCCTTTATAGGTGGAGGACAGTTTTATCGGCCTCAGTCCATCGCCTTCTCTAACCCGAGTGGCTGAGTGATCAACCCGATCATACGGTTTTGGTTTGGTAGGAACGCTTTGTTGTTGAGTAACTTGTAGCTTCGAAACAACACGAAAATTGTGCGAAGACACTGAAAACATTCACCACAACCACCACCAACAACAACAACAATGGGATTATAACTGTCACGAGGTGCCAGTCGTCACACTTAGAAGTACGATGAAGCATGAATTCTGTCACGGAAACACTTCAGTTTTGACAACGGGGTGGAAATTGGCCGTGAGGAAGAAGGAACGTGATGTCATTAGGGCTGTTCAGTTGCACAAACGTATTGGATTTGTGACACATTTATAAATGGAGGTTGAAGTATGGGATTAAGCAGTGAAACTCAAGGTGAATGGCATGCGCAGACAGAACAGAAATCTAATCCAATGGAATTTATAGGCCACTATGAAGACCTGTTGTTTAGGAAAACGTTCATATCGTGCTGTAAAATGGATAAAAATCGATTCTACAGTTCGAGGACGTCACAATCTTGTTGCAATTGGTGAAAACGACTTCGATGTCGTTCCGACTGGAATAGGAGGCATCCCTTGTGTAGAAAATCAGGGGGATTTCGGCTGGGACTCACATCAAAACCAACTAAATGCAATGTTTACCGCAACGCAACTACAATTTGGTGTTCAAGTACAAGAAATCTTGATAGGAAGTCGGGGACTAAGTATAGCTGTTGAACTCCAAGAAGTGCGAACTCGGTAGTGTGTTGCCCATCGTTTCCACACATCCTATGGGTAGAATTGCAGAATTACTCCCTGGAAGAAACCAGAAGTCCTGCAGCTCCGTGATCCCTCTTTGCATGAGACGCTGGATATGGCGGGTAGAGAGAAGTAGGCTGGGGCTAAGGTCACATTACCCAACTATTTTCTCGTTCATTCTTCCTCACCCACCTACAAACGCACGTGATGGGGTATCTTTTTCCATAACTGTTCCATGCAGCACTAAACTCCTAGGATTGTATGTTAGTAAACAGCTGAAGTTCACTAGTGTTGCTAGAGACAAACGTCCAGATGACTTCAAGCTGATTAAAGTAAGCTGATCGAAATGTTAGCGACAAGCTGGCCTAATCTGACACAAAGTGAACTAAACATCGATCCGCTACGTTCGAAACGTTTACAGCACTCGACTCTGAGGACGTCGGTAGTTAGGAGGACCTACTGCAGGACACCCTCAGCAGAAGAATAGACGATCAAGTTGATCGCCTGATCGACAGTCTGTAGTCACTACAGACCAATTTAGATGCTTCGTGTAAGTCACCAACGGAGGACGGACTGTCAATTGCCATGGCTGGACTGCTTGTTCCTGATACTCTGGCGAATTAACGAGCTAATATCGACCGACCACAAAACAAGACGAGACAGATGTGTGTGTGTGTGACAACAGATCAATAATCTGGGTTACCAAACCCAACCGTTCTCCAGACTGAGAAAATGAGATGAGTCAATTGCGAATGGATAAGAAACAACAAAATGTCTGTCGTACGCATGAATAATCGCAAATAATCTCTGGCTAGAAGGCGTATGGAGGAACACAACGGGACGCACAAATACACGTACGCACACAGTTTTCAATAGAGAATTGATAGTAGGACACGCCATCGTAACGTCCCAGGGAAAAAAAACAAGGTGAACGTTGGCTAAGGAGATGGAGGGCGTGACGAGAACGGGTAACGTAAATAGGCCTCGGGATTTCGCAGCATTCAGTAAAAGCCAGACAGGTACAAATCTTTTCAATCTGAAACGTGCGTCTAGGGAGTCGTGACACGTTCGGGACGGTCTGGCCTTCTCAACACATCATTCTTATTAAAAGAACCGACGATAAGTA